TGTGATTATGCATAGATACAACGTTAATACTCACACTTACACCCACAAGAAAAAGAAAACAAATTCAACTTATATTCACATCTTTAATAGTCTGATGAAGGTGAACATCATTTATTGAAACGTTACAAAGAAATACATATCTTAAAATTTACTACTATTGATTATCACTTAATTTAGTTTTAATCCTATTTTATTAACTCATTCTATTATTTTTATTGCATTTTATGAACATCGTATTAATAAAAAATTAAATAATATATAGCTATTGAAACATTTCGATAGTTGATAGCTTTGTATTATGATTTTGTGTATCTTACCACTTTCTAAAGATAGCTACTCAATAAAGTAATATAACTATTAAATAATTTTAATAATTGTGTCATTGTTCGCTTATTCTAAGAGAAATTATAAATATGATTTAAAATAAAATTTCATGTCACTAGTTTTACTCTGTTTAGGGGAAGAATTCAGTTACCATCATTATCCTTCTATTTATCATCCTTATTAAACCTAGGCACTATAAAAATCATAATAATTAATCAATGAATACAAAAACTCCTTTTAAATATTAATCATCGCATCAATAAAATATAAGTTTTAACAAAATAAATAGTAAGTCATTAACTATTCCAGAATATATTAATAGCTGATAATAGGCAAAAAAAATCAATCGTTTTCAAGCGCAACAGATCTTTCTACTGCTCCTTATTTTCGATTTTTTGCTTTGATTTTCAATGACTCCAAAACAGAGTGTAGACGTAGGTGTCAGCAATAAGTATGTCACTCATATCCCACATCCGCCCCTACCCTCAAGATATTTTTAAATTTCATTTTTTTTCTATTCAGTTCCTTTGTTAAGCCTTCTAATCTCAATGATCCTATCATAGCAACTTGTGTTGTTTTCGACATTCACTTTCATTTTTTATGTTGCTATTGGAGCATCCTGACATTAAAAAGATCGTTAATGAAATAATTCATCTAATGCATAAAACAGATTCATACATAAAATTGTTTGCTCTTTTATCTTTTCACATTTTGTTCTCTTTTCTCTCTTCGACCTATTGTGATTATTACTTGTTCTTTCTTTTTCACATAAGAAAAGTTATTCTAAGTGACGAGAGAATATTCTCCTTAAAAAAGCAGTAAGCAAATATGAAATTTGATGATTTTTTAAACACAATCAATGATTTTGGTCGATATCAAAAAGTAAGATACTTTTGTATATGTTTAACATACATGTTACCAGCTGGTAAGTACAACAAGTAGTTTCAGTTTTTGAAATAATTTCTATCTTATCAATTTAGTTATGGTTTATACCTGGTCATTTGCTGCTGCTATACCTTCATTTCGGTGTGCATTATCTGAAAACGATACTGTTTTTAATAGAAATATTTCCATACAATACGATCGAAGTCAACCTGATGAAGATTATTGTAAAGCAAATATGAAAATATCGGTAAAAGAATGTCAAAGATGTTATATGAAAACGATATCAGAAACAGGTATAGCACAACTTCAACCATGTGAAGGTTATGTTTTTGATCGAAAATATCATCAATATACCCTTGTTGAAGAAGTTTGTATCTTTAGTACAATGATATATAAGTTTTAAAAGATTGTTTTTAGTGGTTAATGGTTTGTGATCGAACGATATTTCGTTCAGCAGTACAAAATCTATTTTTTGTTGGTTATATGGTTGGATCGATTTTCTTTGGGATCATGGCTGATAAGTATGTTTTGAGTAGATTTAAGCGAAGAAGAAGTTATAATACTAAAAATACATTTAGGAAAAGTATAATTCATTTGAATATAGGCTAAAAAACTCAGAGAACTTGATTGTCGCATGACACCAATGGTGAGACTGGTTAATCATGTAAATAGATAAAGACCTAAATATAGTATAAAACGTCCGCTCGATTTAAAAGAAAAGAAAAAATGTAAAAATAGTAGCACAATATCATAGGATTATCGTTTCTTTTCTTCTAAAGATATGGTCGTCGTCCTATTATGAGTATTTGTATAATAATAATGGCTTGCACGGGATTTATCTGTGCATTTTTTCCACAAAAAAATTTATTTGGATTTTGGCCAAGTTACTTAGTTTATACGATAAGTCGTTTTATTTTGGCTTGTTCAACAAGAGGCATCGCTGTTACTGGATTTGTATTAGGTAATAATTTGAATAAGAATTTTATTATTAAGAAATAAGTCTTTTACTTTAGCAACTGAATTAGTTGGTCCGAAAAATAAATTTTTAACTGCAATTTGTGTTCAATATTTTTTCGCTTCTGGTCAATTATTTTTAGTTAGTTTTGCTTATTTTATTCGTGAATGGAGACGTCTAACATTTTCTTTATCATTATTCACATTACCATTTACATTATTTTACTTGTAAGTTTGAAAAATATTTCTGTATTTTTCTATATTTGAGTATTCTTAGTGTACTACCTGAATCAACTAGATGGATGATTAGTAAAGGACATTATAAACAAGCAGAAGAATTATTTCGAAAGATTGCAAAGACGAATAAACGAATATTTAATGAAGAAGCATTTGAACAATTAAAAAATGAACAAGAAAAAGTAAATAATATAAACTTTGTTTATAATAACCATCTGTCTGCGATAGACTAGAACGACTGATACGCAAAAAGTCGGTGTTTTATCATTATTTCGATCGAAAATTATGTGCATTATATCTATAAATTTATTTTTTCAATGGTAAATTCTTTCGAGTATTTTTTTCTTTGCATGTATCTTATTCTGTTTTACTAAGGTTTGTTCAAAATTTAGTTTTCTATGGTGTTTCACAAAGTACTGGTTCTTGGGGTTTTGATCCTTATTGTAGATATCGAAATATAATATTTAACTTCGTAATATTAATATTTAATATTTAGTATCATTTGCAATCTCAGCATGTGTCGAAATAGTATCTTATATTGTATTACATTTGATACTTAATCGAATCGGACGAAAACGACCATATTTTGTTGCTGTTTTTAGTTTTGCCATAGTTGCGTTATTATCAATCCCAGTACAAAATCTAATGGTGAAAAATAGTCCAAGTAAATATAATTTTATGATAAACAAAAAGATTTATCTTTTTTTCGGTAATATAGGTCAAAAAGTGGTTATATTTATGATAAATGTGTTATTAAAATTTCTTGCAGCTGGTAGTTATGCTATTATTTATATATATTCCAATGAATTATTTCCAACAGGAGTAAGAAATACTGGAATGGGTATTTGTTCAATGGTTGCACGTAATAGATTTCTTTTAAAATAAAATTTTATATTCTAAAAGTTGTTCATAGGAATTGGAGCAATTGTGGGAACAACAAGCAATGATATGTTGGTATGTGTTACTAAACTTAAACAATTGTGGATTTATACAAGCTTTTCTTAATTTAGACTCGATTATGGATTAATTTTCCGACGGTTTTATTTGGTATTTTATGCTTCATTGCAGCTTTTCTTATTTTGATGTTACCAGAAACCTTGAATAGAACATTGCCACAGACGATTGAAGATACTGAACAAATGGGTTTAAGTTGGTATGTATATTCAATTTATTATTGTAGTTATCGTTTTTTTTTATCATATTTGTTTATGTTTAGTATTCGTATTCGTGGTAATCAACGAACTTCAAAACAACAAGAAGAAACTTATAAGAAAGACGATCAAGATTCAATTGATAGTTACACATTAAGTGAACGTTTATAGATTGTTAGTAAAGATTAAAACAAAAAGAATATAAACGTTGAATTCATCACTAATACTTAGCAATTGATAATTACATAAGTGTGGGTGTGGGTGTCGTCTTTATTTATCATGCACCAGGCACACGCACACACCCTCAAATGTATATAGGAATATAATTTTACTTTATTCAGAAGTTTAACTCATTCGGAATTTGAAAGATATAATATTTTTGAACATTTTTCATTGTCAGTTTATCTTCGAATAGTTGTCTCTCGTCAATTATAGTTCATTGATGCATTACAATACTTACTTTTGAGAATATGAGTGAATATGAGACTATGGCTAGGGTGGATGTGGTTAACTATACTCGTATCCTTCTACATCCGCATCCCCACTCACACTATCCATATTATTCATGTAAATAAGAAACAATATATGCAATATTCGTTAAGACCATTACACATATATCGCATATTATATTTTTTTTCTTCTCACAAACTATACAATAAGCAGAACAATTTCACAGTCACATCATCATAAAGCAATCTAAATAATATATAAAATCAAACAATTAAAGTCAGTTCGATTAGTTAATTGTCTATTCGATGGTTGTAGTTTATACATTAACATAGACACATCGCTGAATAACACGACGTTTTCGATTTTTGATTCGTTTTGCTCGTCGTATTCGTTCTCGTTCCTTATCGACTGGATCTATATCGAAACAATATTTCAATATATCCATTGTTACAACAGATATAATAATAATTGTCATGGCAAGAATTGCAATATATGAAGAAGACTTTGAAATAGTTCCATAAATAATTATTTTCTTCGATTGTATTTCACAATGGCGACCAGAGTAAAAGTTATCGCCAAGACATTTACATGTATAATTAAGTACTGTTGGTTGGCAAACCCCATTATTCATACATGGACTACTGTCACACAAATTTACCATTGATTCACAGTTAATACCATCCCAACCATTAGCACATGTACATTTAAATGTGTTATTCGATGTTTCGTTGCATTGACCTACAACAAAGAATCATTTTTCATTTTTCAATTTTTCTAATAATAGAAAAAGGAGAAAACATATACATACCATCATATAAACAAGTATGTAATATACAAGGTCGTTGATCAAGTTCACAATAAGTACCATTGAAACCAGATGGACATAAACAAATGTAACTATCAAACGTATTATTGATACAAGTACCATTATTTTGACATGGATTAGCTATGTCACATATATTATTGGAAATATTACAATTAGAACCAATATATGTAGTATCATTACATTGTACAGCAATAAAAATCGATACTGACGGTTGAACTATAGAGTACATGAAAATATTATTAAAATAAAATGAAATTCTTTATTGTTACACATATATTACTCAGAGTATAGCTGATAATACACACTAATATCACAAACCTTTTTCGAGTGATGTTGTAAAAACGTTGATGGTTGTAACGAATGTCGATAAAGCATTAGTTGAATTTTCAACTAAAAACAGTAATTGAATATTGAAACAATCGAACAGAATGAGGGAACTCACTTGCATTCACAAGTGTGGTTATTGGTACTTGTTGCGATGTTGTAGATTGTTCTATATTTATATATATTGAATAGTTTCACTTAAATATAAGTTATTTACTGAGCAATCATCCTATTTCGCAACTTTGAACATTGCGGAATCAGTTCCATTCAATTTCCAGAACTACATACACGTTCTGAGGATTCATCGCATTCTTATTCGAAAGTATTCTTAGAATATTGTCAATCTCAAAGGTTTCATATTTAGTTTTCAATATATTCGCCTAAATAGATCGTATCACGTATAATAAATCTATATCAATTTATCAATATTTCGTTGAACACCGGTATCAGTGTGATCATATTCTTCTAAACAATGGTATCTAGTAAGAGTCGTTTACTTTGGGAAAGACATCGATGAGTGTAACGAGTATAATTAATGGATTTTAGTGTCGGTGTGAATACAGTTTCCTTAAGACTTTTAAGTGAACAGTTTACTGAAACTAAACATAACTGAAACAGCACTAAGCTAAAGGTATTGTATAGATCGGAATGTAATTTATTAATTTCCTTATCAACAAACTTCAAACACAAGATGCTAGTTAATAGTTTGATCTTTGATCAACGATTAATAATCTTTTAAACAAAAACCATCAATTAGTAAAAGAGATAAAACAACGATAACTACACTGAATTCACTTCATAGAAAATGAAAAAAAAACTTATGGTCATATGTTTCATTTACTCAACAATCAACATTAAATAATATTAATTGATAACGATTTCTATGTTATGAACTTATTCTATTTCGATAATTTTACAGTTATTAAATAGAAATATTTTCTTAACTATTTTTATTTAGAACCATTGTCATATTTTGTCAGTCAAATTTTACGCTGAAGATCACGAATCTTTCAATTAAGCTCATTTTTAATAAACAAAAATGAGAACGATTGTTATTAACAATAATAGCAACAGAAAAGCGTGGATTAAAATATTAAAATACCTGTACGGAAGGGATAGACAATATACGAATTATTATTCATAGTAAAAAACGAATAACTACTTCATGTAAATCCATTGTTCAATCTTTTTTTCTTGTAATATCTACTAATTAACATGGCAAGAAACAAAGTATGGTACTGTAGTCGAATTCATAGAAAATTTTTCGACAACTAAATTAAATACTTTTATACGTACCACATGAATTTGTG